ATATATTTATATATTTATATATTCTCTCATCTTCCTGAGCCTTCACTTAGCACTAGTAAGCATGAAAAACCAACCAAGTATAAGGAGATTGAAACAGAAGTACACGTGACAGTGTTTTAAGCAGCCCTGATGAAGTATAAAAGTTCGTGTGCTTCTAACATAGATTTCATTAATTTCATTAATTAATTTAATTTTTCATTTGTTTTTTTATAGACCCAGGCACGTACAAGTCTTGCTGTGTACATACTTGCTCTGAATTAAAACCTTTTACCAAGGGATCAGTATCTGTGACTCCATATACGAACAACAAACGTAATGAAAGACTTAGTGGTAAATCTAGAAGCTGTGACTTCAAAACAGATTCAGCAAGTAAATCTCTTGTTTCCTAAGTATTATGAAAATGGCTGATACTAATACAAGGAATATGAACTTGCCTATTGTAGTTCATTATATTTTATAAATGGTATTGCTGTTAGCCAAGAAACTGATTAGCATTAAAATCATTGTATTGACATTCATATCATTAGTGTCTCATTTTAGTTACTTAACAGTAATCCATTTTTAATTATGCATTTAGTATTATCATTCTTATATATAGGATTTACAAAAAATTTCTTCATTCACTTGAAATTCTTGTTAAGACTTTAGAAAGCATTTTGTCCTAATCTCAAGGAAAGCTTCAAATGAAACACAAAAAGGATGAATAACACTTGGGGTTTTTTTGCTTTGTGGCATGAAAGCTACAAAGATGTTCAGCCTGTACCTTTTGTTCTGTAGTTACCTGTTTGCTTAAAGCAGACCTGCATTACCCAGGGGACAGCAATACTGATGGCTGTGCTGGGTGTCGATTAGTTTGGATGTATACGTACACAGTCAGCTTCCAACACTAGGTTAAACACAAATGTGTGCCAACCCTTGTGCTGACAGAAAGGTCTGTGCACCTTCTTGGGGCTATCCTTTCAAAAGCTTATCCCTGTGGCCCTGATTCTTTGTTTCCCATACGTGTTCAATCAATAGAACTGTCAGAAAAGCTAAGAAACCCCCAAACCAACAGACTCTGCAGATATTCTCCTGGTTGCAAAAAGAGGTTATAGAGATGGAGTCCTTTTTACTTTGCTGGGGTTTTCCCCTCTTTTAATCTTCAGATGTAGAGCCTCATACTGTTTGAAATTCTGATTTGAGGAAAACAACCAAACCCAAACCCACCCAAACCCACATGTTTATTTCTTCCAATACTTTTTTAGCTCTAGTTGCACAACATCCAGACTTAGCTAAAATAGAAATACAGCTAAAGAAAAGGTATGATGGTTTATATCTTGTAAGGCGCTAAATTAGTATTTCCTTTAATTTCACTCAGTAAGCTAAAGTGGGGTTTGTAGTGAAATATAAAATATTTTCTTTGTGACAGTGAT